CAGAATTCCACGTGGCGCGCTTACAACAATTTTTATTCGTCCTCACAGTGGTCAAAATGTTGTGGAGTCACCAGGCGCAGTCCAAAATATCGTTGTCGATAAGAGTACAGACCACGTGAAACCTTTCTTAATTTGTTTACTACCACCATATCGACTTCAAATAAAACTTTTTTTACTATGCGTGACACGTTGACGCAAGTAGCGTTGTCTGTGCTCTCATCGACAAATTGACCAATCAGATCACGACATTACTGCCAACTGTGGTAAAGATATCTTAAGGAACTTCTGTTAAGAAATGATAGAAACCTTAGGCATACTACTCGTTGGTGAGGGTCAGATAGTAGGAATACAGAGACTTCCATGACACTCACAGGTGTCCCTCAAGCTCCGAAGTTATCGTCATTCCCTCCAGAATTCAGACACAAGCATCACTGAACTCTTCAAGGACTAGTGGACCACAACTAGCAAACCTTATTCTAGAGCTTGTCACATTAAAGGGAAACACTTAACGGCGAGTGTACCGAGCAACCATCACACGTCTCAGCCCAGAGTGCACTGCGCATCATTCAAGATGGCGGCCGCAGGAAATTCTAAGCGGCCGTAAGACCGTTCTTTGAAAATGATAAAAAAATCAGACCGCTTGTTAAGGCAAATTTTTATGCCACATCTATTGAGAAGTACGATTGGAAAAATTTGAGCGCCATTTTTTAAAAGAGTAGAGGTTCCCTTTAAAATAATTCATAGACTAACATCCCATGTGGGGGGGAGCGGGGGGGAAAGGGAAAAAGAGGGGGCAGTAGTAACAATCCCAGTTGACTGAACTTGACAATTGAGATGTGCTCCATCTGGGTGCGCTGATAGGCTTCAGCACAGACTACATAAAGCTCAGTTAATCAGCTGTAATAGTCCAGAATCTGGAAATTCTGTGCTTGAGGGGGAAATCACTAAGTTTGCTAAGCACCCGTGAGTGTATCTAACTAACCACCAGAGATAAACAAGGCTCAATATGAATCAGCTTTGACAATTGAGAATCTGGAAATTCAGTGCTTGAGGGGGAAAATGACTGAGTTAGCTAGGCTCCTGCCAGTGTAACTAACTAACAACCAAAGATGAACGAGACTGAATTAATCAGCTATGATACTCCAGAATCTAGAAATTCGGTGCTGTGGCAGAAAGTCACCGAGTTTGCTAGGCATCCATGAGTGTAACTAACAAACCACCAGAGATGAACTTGTTGAAACCCACACAAGGACTTTTTTGGTAATTGAAATTAAGGAGAAAAATGAAAAATTATGGTACTGGGTATTTGGTTGTCTCAAGAGATGTTTACCAAATTTGTGGGAATATGATGGAGTTAACAAACTTTTGGCAAACATTTCATTCAACCACTGAGAAGTTAGAAAAATAGAATCTTACCAGGCAACAATTTTCACAAAAGTTGGACTCAATTGAATTCCAGCTTTGGCATCAAAAATGGTTGAGTGAGTGTCTCCAATGAAATCACTGGAGACCACCTCCTCCTCAGTGTATCCAAGGTATCTTGACATTGCTGCATCTTCAGACATTTTCTTCATAGCCGCTTTGATGTCCTCATATTGAGTCTAAGAATGAATTCAGGCTGTTAAATTCACAGAGATGGGCAAATGGGTCTTTCCCAGGTGGATTATATATATATATATATCTTATCACCCAAGCGCAAGGGCCGTACTGGGAGAAAATTGGCCCGAGGTCTTGACAGTACGGACAGAGCACAGCGAGGTCCACACAAAAAAGACAGAGGGCCGATATTCTTCCAGTACGGTCCCGAGCAAGCTTGGTTAATAAGAGATTTATTAATTTATTGTGTCCCTTTGAAGTTCAAAGGGACACAAGTTTGGTATCATTCGGGACAGTGCCTGGTCCAATACTGAGAGAGTATTCACTGACAATAGAGCATTTTGACTGGTTGATAATAGTTATTGGCCCTCTGACTGCCCGAGTCATGTAACAATAAGAACTACTTTCTTAATACCCTAATTTATTATTACCTGACACTTGTATCTTGGACCTCTCTATTTCCTTAAATGGGACAGTGACCAACAAGAAAGCTACGGCTACTTTGGTCACTGTGCACACATCTACAAATCTGCATGATAGCTACTTCTCATTATCTTCTTTACCTAGTTATATAAGTCATCTTGTACTGTATTAATTGAATAGTGCGAAATAATCTTGGAAACGCTTGGAGAGGAATAGATGAATGATAGTGTAAACTGCTGCTTTAAAGGTAATTACAACATAACCAAAGTAAAGCACACACTCTGATTGTTAAATTTAAAGTTCCCCATTTGCCCATGGGTGTAAGCTGCTGAAGTGAGCAAATGCAAAGACTATTTTTCTGCGTGCTTGTTTTTTCTGGTCATGTAAGATTTGTTAAATAAAAGAAAACTCTTTTGCTACATTGTATCAATGTTAGGTTATAAAAACAAATGTTTAACGCCACAGTGTACACTACACAACTCTTATGCTTCTTTCATACTTAGCAACCTCCAATGTGCATCCATAACTCAATAGTGTATGCTGTAGTGTTTACCATTTGTTAGTTTTGGTTTTATCAACTAAGTTGATAATGTAACATGGCCATTGTAAAGAATTTCAAAGCTAACATTTTGAGCATTAGCCCTTTGTCAGGGTGAATGACAAAGAGCTATTGCTCTGATGAAGGACTAATGCTCTGAATATCAGCTTTAAAACTCTTTACAGTGGCCAAGTTACATTATCAACTTGTTGATAAAACCAAATCTCCCAATACAGGATCTCACAACAAAGACAAAAACAAAGCAAACAAACAAACAAACAAAACAACTCGTTCAATCCACTTACAGGTTTCTTCAAACGGCAAGTGAGGTCCACCACTGACACGTCAGGCACAGGTACACGGAAAGCCATTCCAGTCAACTTGCCATTCAGTTCAGGAATGACCTTACCAACAGCCTTGGCTGCTCCAGTGGAAGCTGGTATCACATTCTGATAGGCTCCACGGCCATCACGCCATTTCTGAAAAGACATACAGTAAGAATTAATCCCTTCACACTAGAGTAAAAGGCATCTACTTTCTCCCGACAGTCTTAACCCCGAATCAAACATGTTCATGACAATAAAAGGACATGTTCATGACAATAAAAGGACATGTTCATGACAATAAAAGGACATGTTCATGACAATAAAAGGACATGTTCATGACAATAAAAGGACATGTTCATGACAATAAAAGGACATGTTCATGACAATAAAAGGACATGTTCATGACAATAAAAGGACATGTTCANTCACATGTTACCCTCTGGTTCAAACCATTTACTGCTTTACATGTTCCTTAGCAACAAAGCAGGACTAAAAAAGAGTACATGACACCTACTATTCACACTCACAGCTGAAGGGAATTTCCAATTTCTTCAAGGGGATCCTCACAAGGAAAAGTTGACTCAGCCTTCACCTTCCTAAAAACAACTCTTGCCCTTCCCTATCTTTTGAGAACATGACACTTTCCCTCACTACTAGTCTAGTGTAATAAATGTTGCATGGTTAATTTTAGCAAAAACTTGTTTACACAGGTCTTCAATGTCCCAATTTTCGGCCAGTCATGGAAATAAAGTCCCGCGAAAAAAAAAGAAAAGTAACAGTAAGGTAACTTAATTGCTATACTTTGGGTTTCCAATTCCTTTACCCGTTGACTCCTGCACTTCAACATACCTGATAATGGTCATCTTGCTTGGGTCATACTTGTCTTCATTTACTCCCATCACAAACATAGGGGCATCAGCTGAAGGTGCAGAGATGATTACCCTCTTGGCACCGCCCTTAAGGTGTGCACTAGCCTTTTCTACAGTAGTAAAAACACCAGTGGACTCGACCACATATTGAGCACCATCGGCACCCCATTGGATTTCAGAAGGATCTCTTTTGGCATGCACAGAGATTGGGTTTCCATTGATTACCAGTTTACCATCCTTTGCTTCTACTGTTCCTTTGAATCTACCGTGGGTCGAGTCAAACTTGAACATGTAGACCTTGTGAATAAAAAATCCGAAGCAAATTACTAAACCATCCACACAAGCACTTCCTCTTTCAAATTAAAATAATTTTAAGAATGGTGCTTTCATTGATAGACAAAAACAAGCAAACTAAAGGGGTGCACCTTTTCTGCATCTAAACTAAAACTCTCAAAAGGGTGCCTTTGTGACTGAGTGTCCTTAAGTCACAACTGAAGAAATCACAATGGCTAACCAGAATACTAGTTTCCAAAGAAGACTTGAAGTAAAAAAAAAAAAAAAAAAAAGTACCTGAGTTGCGATCGCAAAACCAAAGGGCATTTGGTTGTAAATTTGAATTTGATTGGTTGAGAAAAGTAGTGCAGGGTTCTTGGACCAATTGAAAGTCAAAGAAAAGCAAAAGCAAAAGCAAAAGCACAGCAATCCCAGAGTACATTTGATACTTGCATGAAAAATTGCCCTACATTTTCAACTGAGCCCTATGAAGCAAAATCACAAGTTTGGATCCCAAAAATTAGAGTTCCTAGAAGGAATTTTCCAACCTAAATAAATGATTTCACAATAAGATCGAAAATTGGCGCAAATGACGTCCAAAACTCTTCTACAACATTGACATTGTTTCGCGTGAACATCAACGACTAGGACATGAAGGCATTCAGTTTTATCACTTAGTATAATACACCAATATCAAAGTTTGTCCTTTGTCGACAAGACTGATAAAAACTGTGCACGTTTGACGCCATTAGCAAATCTCATCTGGCGTTCGCTGGACAGACAACATTGGATGACCTTGCAGGCAAATCGAAAAATAGAAAAAACACGACTGATCTGAGATCAAAAGGGCACTGAACATATTTTTCTGCGGGCAGGCCGATCTCGACAAAATGCAATTCAGCCACAAAACTTTAACCACAAGATCTGCATAAATTTTTAAAAAAGACATGCTTTTTCATTGTAAGTTCAAATGAAGATTTCTCGAACAAGACTGCTTTAGGCGAGCTCATCATCTTGTGAAGCAATAAAGGAACACAACGCTGAAGTGACTTAGCAATGACAAAATCTGTCTGATATGAAAAAAAAAAAAAAACATGATCACGTCTTAAATCATGCAAGATTGCTGCAGTGATATTGGAGTTCTGTTGCAGATGGCTTGGCTTGGCTTACCATATAGTCGAGGTCGATAAAGGGATCGTTTACAGCGACAACTTGGACAGCATTCTCTGACAGCGAGGCACGCATAACAAGTCGTCCAATGCGGCCAAATCTGCAAGAACAAATCAGGGGAGTGATTTAAAGTAATGAAAACGAGCTGACATTACATTAAGCAGAAGAAAGAGCGCACAGTTTCTCCTCACCCGTTTATCCCAATCTTGACTACCATTGTGAATAAATGTTTTTCCTGAGAAATTAAAAATAAACAATCTTTGATCAGGCAAAGAAAATGTTGAACTAAGGCAAAACGGCCTGGATTAATTGTAACTAAAAAAACGTATTCTGAGCTGGATAACTTACCTATCACAACCAACAGACCGATCGTGCCACGTTCGCTGGTAAAATGCAATGTACGGAGAACCGGTCTTGCACATCGAACTTCAAGTGAAGCTGGTACTAGCATTTGATTGGTCGAATTGAGGTCAGCTGATCAGGATCGTGAAGTCCTGCACGGAAAAATCACCTGATTGTTGTAATGTTTTGCTCAAACAAAGTAAGACGTCACAGATTTCTCGCGCGACAACACGAAGTTTATTGGATTCGAGGGGAGATAAGCACGTGCCTCGCGCGTGGTTTCTCAGTGCGAAGCAAATGACCGGGTGTCCACCGTCCCTGCGGACTAAATGAGAACAGAGCTAGATTACTATAAAGTTCTCAGCCAAATAAGCACACCAGCTTGATCTTAATGTGACATTCCATCAGAGGCAGCACAAAAAAAATATATTTTTCCAAAGTGTTTTTCCTATATGCATTACCTGTTTCATTTTAGTCTTCCTTCTGCAAGGGTAGAACTGAAGGTGGGTTCCTAGGTTGCTTTTAACTTTCTAACTGCCAGCATCTGATTGTTGATCCTCCCTTCTGGCCGCTATACATATCCTTGTAAATTAGTGACGAGAATTCCATGTTAGATCAAGAAGACAACTTCTACCTGATAAGACTAAGTATTCTCATTACCTGTTTGCTGGATAATGTACGAATATCAGAGAAATTACTTGTTATACACTTCTAGGAATTTAAGTGCTAAACCTCTGTTGATCCAGAAAAAGTACAAAAATAGTTGTTTGGAAATAAAAAAATTACTTGCCTGGTATACTTAAAAATTTCAGAATTTTTAAGTATACCAGGCCTTAGAAAGCCTCTCTCTTTGAAAAACAATGGCAACAACTATGTTGTGTTTGGTAAATTGGTCTGAGTGTTTTCTGGTTTTGTATTGATTAGGAAAAAGACATTTTAGCCCCTTCATCAGTATGCATTCTCTGTACTGTTCTTTGTATATCTTCCACTGTAGCAAATAGAGAATTATGTGTCACAATCAAGAGCTTCTCTAGCTGGTGATCATTTCCTTTTTTCTTGTGACCTTACTGTGTGATTGACGGGTGATGTTTTGAGGAGAATTTAGATGCGTGTCAACTGTAACTACTGATTCAAAGTACATACTTCCCAGCCATTACCTTCATCACAATTGTTGTGAACATAATAACAGCATCTATCCATTTTCCTAATTCCTCAGTATTAATTCTCCCATCCATTTCTCATAATTTTAGTGTCTATCAAATGCATAATATTTCCTACATGATCTTTTCTTCACTCTCATTGCATGGTTTAGTTTGCATACCAAAAGACCGAGCTGGGTACAAAATGACACAACTGTTTGGGTACGAAACAACTCAACTGTTTGGGTGGGACAAGTTCTAGCTGGGTATGAAAGGTCTGTGTACAAAACAACCACAGGTATGAAACAACCAGTAACCAAACTAGTAATGCAAATCATTTATTTTTTCTACCTTAACAGAGGAAATATTTACAATGAAATATACAAACATTTTTGGGTTTTTATGCCAACAGAGAACAGATGCAATGTAAAGCAACTAAAATTTCAGAGTGAATCCAGCAACAGCAGCAGATCCTTTCTTGGAAGTTGGCATGCGGAATCCCAAGCTGCCACTACCACTGTCACCCTCATCTGCCTGAAAAAAAAAAACAACAACAACAACAAGATAGCTAAATAATAAATAAAGGATTCTCATCTTCATCAAAATGCTGCTCATTTCAGTGTTTAACTAAATTTTTACTTATGAACAAGATTTTGAGAAAAGCTTGACCCTACAAAATAATGATTAAGAACTTTAAAATAGTTTTTTAATAACTAGAAGAGCCATGGCAAAAGATAAGATAACAATGCTGCTAATAAATTATTAAATGAGAAAAAAATAATCAGTCAATCAAGTGGTCAGTCAGTCAAGCAGTTAGACAGACTAACTGCCAGCCAGCCAGTGAGTCAGTCTGTCAGTGAGTCCATCAGTCACTCACAAAGTCAGTCAGTCAGTTACTTAGCCAGTCAGACAAACAGTCAGTCAGTTAGCCAGTCAGTCAGTCAGTCAGCCAGTCAGTCAGTTGGTCAGATGGTCAGTCAGCCAGTCAGCCAGTCAGTCAGCCAGCTAGTCAGTCAATTAGCCAGTCAGTCAGTCAGCCAACCAGTCAGTCAGTTAGCCAACCAGTCAGTTAATCAGTCTGTCAGTTTGTCAGTCAATAAATCATCAATCAGTCCATCAATCAGACAGTCAATTAGACAGCCAGTCAATCAGCCAAGAACAAAGTCAGCCAACCAGTCAGTTAATCAGTCACTACCTCAGTCAATCATGCTTTCTTCCAAGAAGTTAAAATCATCCCAAATATCATTTAGTCATTTTTAAAACCAACAAATCACAAATATGTACCTTGATTCATAAAAAAGACCAATCCCAACCAAGAAATAATACATACATACATACATACATACATACTTTATTTGTCCCAAATGGGCTTTTCAGAATAAAGAAATAATTAAAACTATATTATTAAATTAAAGAGTTAGTTAACTAATAAATAAATAACATAATCAAATTAATTAATTAAAAAATAAATTAAATAACAAAAACAAATTAAAGCAATTAAGTGTCTAAAAAGTTTGAGATAACACTTCTCTTCAGGCAACATTTCAAGTCCTTAACTGTCGGTTTCAACTTAAGAATAGGATCTAATGAGTTCTAGAGTTTGACATTCCTGAAGTAGAAAGTTCTTTGTCCTGTGGCGGTTTTATCAAAGGAATATTTAGCATCTGGGAGTTCCTCGTTGTATGCTTAGTGATGGTAGCTCTTTGGGTATATTTAGGAAGTAAAGAGTCTGGTGCGCACCCAGTCATGCATTTAAAGGCCATTATTGCGTGGTGATAATACAACTGCTGTCTTACAGGTAGCCACTTTAACTCTTTAAGGATGGGGGAAATGTGGTCGTATTTCCTTGAATTGCTGACGATATGGGCCGCGAAATTTTGTTCTACTTGGATCCTACTCAGGTTGTGCTCTGAGGTGTTGCTCCAGACATTACAACAATAATATTGCTTGCTAAAGACTAGGGCATTAATTACAACAGTTAAGGTGTTTGAGTCAAAGGCATGTTTAACTCGATTAATCTGGCCTAGGCACGCCATACAACTGGACACTGTTGAAGCTATGTGACCATTATATGTCAAAAACAGGGATCCAGAATTACTCCCAGGTCTTTAGCAATGGCAGCTGTTGTAATTTTCTTTCAGTTTTAGTATCATCTACGGTAGTACT